GCTCTGCCTTCTTCTCCTGGATGGCATGGAGTCGGTCCTGCGTGGCCTCCGGGGCTGCTCCCAGCCCAGAGCCCTGGAAGACAGGCACAGCTTTGCTCGGATATGGCATATGCCTCCTTTTCAGAGGCTCACCAGCAGTCAAACCTCACATCCTACAGCCCCAGAGTGAGTGCAACTAGGAACTGTTCCCCAGAGAGCAGGTCACTGCAAGGGTAAGACAGAAACACAACCACTCAGCAAGCCTCAGCTCTTGAGAGACAGACCCTTTCTCCTGATTTCTGTGCTGTTTTCCTTTCTCTGACAGCTATACCTATTTTCTAAGGCCACCTGCAGTAACTGCACAACCCCCCTTTGGTATTTCTTTTGCCATGCCTATAGCATTCCTGAGCTCAACTTTCCACCAAGCTTTTGGTCTATGACCCCGACATCACTGAGAACACCTTATATAAGCTTCCATTTGGCACTCAAAGATATGTTTATGCTGAGGACTAAATCCCTGACGAGATTCAGGGTTCACATGAACCAGCTTTCAGAAGCCACCCAGCTACTGCAGCACAGACCTCAGAGCTAATCTGGCTATGAGAAGCATTTCTGTATAAATAAACCTCACCGCACAGGGCCAGGGCACTGCTAAAATGCACCAGACTCATGCTGCCAAAGCTCAGAGATATTATAACCCAACTGCTGTTCCCACATCCACCTCTATCAGAATCCAGAGAACGTGCTTTTATGGGGCTGTAGGTGATTTTCTTTCCTCAAATTCAGTTCAAGAATTACTGTGGCAGATCTTTCTGCCCCAGGCAAGAACCAGGCTTTCTCCCTGCACAATCTAACAAAGACTTTCCCATGAGTACCTCTCCCTTCCCGCCTGACTGCATGGGCCCACATCTGCACAGCTCCCATTCACTATTTCACAGCTTCCCTGGGGCACAAAAGGCTGTTCATATGAAGGAAACAATTCTGGGGAAGCATTTGTAGTACTTTGTTTTCAAAAGAGCTGCAACTTAGCAGCTGACAATAACAGAAGCACTCAGTGCTGTGCCAAGAGCTCCACGGGCTATCTGAAGTCCTCTCCGTCTCAGCTCCGTGGAATCTTTCACTCGGAGCCTCCACATACGAAGCTGCACATTGTACCTGGCTTGAGCTTTCCCTCTAAATATTCTTCTCTCACAAGCTGCAGATGTACCCTAATGCCACTGGTTCCTTCTGTCAGGGTATTGTTTTCCATGCTGATCTGTATTTCTAAACATCCCAGAACTCATTTCATACCGAATACAACAGCTGGTACTGTTGACATTCATTTTCATTCTTCAGTTACCACCACTGCTCTCTAACCCAAGCTTTAATGCAGGCCACACCAGGGCTGGGTTGGAATTTAAGCATCAAAGTAATGACTTCAGCTGGAGAGAGGCAAACCCATGACTACACAGCCAGCCTCCTCCTGCACTGCTATCAGTCAGGAAGAGGAAAGAGAGAAGGAAGCCAAGGATCAGCCCAAGTCCTTTTGCTGTACTACGTTAAGAGCAGGACGCTCCAGTGCACCTGACACAGGATGAGCCCGAAAGCCCCTTGTCTCTGGAATGTGAAAGAAGAGGGTGGAGGTAGGGGAAGAGGAGGAACCTGCTCTGCTGCAAACTGCACCCAAAGACGAGCACATCACTGCAATCACACACTTGGTCGAACAGCTCCGTGCTGCTATTTTTACGTGGCTGTTTCAAGACCCTGAAGCATATGCAAACCCCTGAGGACAGTCTCCCTACAGACAGCTATCCCAAGCTAGCTGTAGGATACAGGGATGTGTCAGAACACAGAAAGGAGGAGGATGAGGTGCTTTGAAATGTTTCCTTATATTTCTCCTTCAGCTTTTAAATCCTCCTTACACAGGTGAAACTATTTGCTTGAGACCATCAAGGCAGAAGCAGGAATACAGCCAAGTTCTGCTGTGTTCCAAAGGACCAACTCTTCTTTCCACCACAGCTTTTAGCACAGACCATTCCACCACAGAAACCAGGCCAGAAGACACGTGGGATCATGCTGGCTTACAGGTAACACACACAGAGCAGCCATTCTTTGCCAGTGGGCTTACAAAGGACGTACATTTTCTACCAGGGTGCTATGGGGTTAGAGGGACATGACCACATTCACATCAAAGCAGTGCACACCTACCTTTGCTGTTGAAGCCCGATTCTTCCAGAGCAGGATCTCCGAGTCGGAGAGCCCCAGCTCCCGGAGAGAGGCAGTTTCTTTGTTGTTCTCCTGCAGGGCTTGGAACTGAGACAGGGTCAAGGCCCCTGCAGCCTCTTCCCCAAAAGGCTTGTAAAAAGCTGCAGGGGCGAAGCATTTGCGCTTTGACTTGCATCTGTAACCCAAAGCAACACAACAGCACTGAGAAACTGGGGGGACAGGACGGGGCTGGCCTCTCTCCCACCACGCTTGGGCACCTCGCGGAGATGCTGTGTTTCCATACTCTCCTGACCCTTTCCAAGCCCACAAGACCCTGCATGGCAGGAAGGTGCCCCAACATGGACAGGAGGCACCTCTTGACACTGTAACACCAAATGCCCCACAGATGCAAACGCAGGCCAGCCTAGAAACCCATCCCTGCATCTGCCCAGGCAAACCAGTTATTTTTCACCTAATGGTTGAAAACAAGTTATCACCAGTGCTTGCTCCACGAGATAAGAAGTGCTTATCTCCTGCTAGAGTGTCCTGGCAGGAGACCAGCAAAGGAGGAAGGGTTTACACAGCTGTTTTGGCAGACAACAGCCTGCATCAGACATAGGAGGAGGCCCCAGTGCTTCAACGCTGCTGCTGCCCCTAGCATGGCCCGGCTCTGCCCACCGGCCCCTCCGCAGCCCCCCCAGGGGCCAGAGCAGGACTTACTGCTCAATGGAGACAGTGGTATCGAGCTGGTGGTGAAGGAGGCTCTTCAGCTGCCGCTCTCCTTCTGTCTCCAAGTCTTCCAGGAGAAGCTCATCACTGGACAGGCTGCTGTTGACGCTGGGCACACAAGAACAGAGATGGTCAGTGAGGCAACAGGGAAAACATTGCTCAACACACAGCACTGCTACAGTCCCTCTGCCTCCTTAATGGTTTAAAGCACAACAAGGAACCAAAACTACTTGACCAAAGCTGTAGTAATGTCACCAACAGTATTTGGGACTATTCTGAGATGTTAAAAGTATCCCTGGAAGCTTCATTATTATTATTTTTCCCTTCCCTAAACCACATACAACCTTATGTTTATTGCTGGGAAGCTGTTTTGTGCCAGTATCTAAACAGACATTGCTAGTTTCACAAGCCTTCATGAAGAACCACAAAACAACCAGGTTGGAAAAGACCTGTAAGCTCAAGCCCAACC